CGAGGAAGAGCTGGCTTGCCAGGCATGATCTCAGGGCTGAGAAGACGCCCCCATGAAGAGGGCGCTTGCCTTGAGTGGCCGCAAATGGTTTCACGCAGAGCCGATCCCCAGAGAGAGGTGAACTGCCTGCCTCGCCCAACGTTGTTCGTCCCCACTGAAGCGGATGTTGGCCTGCCTTGGCCCCGAGCCCTCCCGGGGCTGCGCCCTTCAGCCATCCCCCTGAAGAGGACAGCTACCTGGCAACACGGCAAAGGGCCCCCGAGCTGAATGGTCCCCATGAAGAGGAGTGGCTGGAAACGCATGAAGCTCAGCCACAACTTAAGGGAGCCGTCCCCTAAAGACGCAGATTTGCCAGGCATCCACTCCACGTGCTACCCTAAGGGTTGTTCCCGTGAAGGGGACAGTTCCCTCACATGAGCAAGAACCAGAGCTGTTCACAATGCAAGAAGGCTGCGCACACTTCCCCGCTCCTTTTAAGTTTATGCTGCTGCCACTGTGACATGACTTTCAGGGCCCCATACTTCTACACTAGCATCAACTGCCTAGGTTCCACTTAAGGAGAGGTTTTTTCAGATTCTCTATCTTGGAAAAGATAGGATTAATTAAAACAGTATTTTGCTTCTCTCTCGCTCTGCTAATTTGCGCCTGGGTTCTGGCATCTTTGGTGTTCAGTTCTACTGTGCTTTCCACTGTTCTCCCTTGCTGGGATTTGAACATGGAGTTGGCCGCCCAGAGCACCATTGACTCTGCAGAGCCATTTCTGAGCGAGGGCCTCAATTGGGGGTGGGGGTGGGGGTGTCCCAACCAGACGGGCAAAGGACACAGAGTCAGGGCTTCAAAACAGGCTTTTGCTTTCTTAGCGGCTGGTGGGGCGCACCGCAACGCCTCGAGCTGAAAAGGAGTCCTACCAGCAGAGCAACGCCCCCTCAGGCCTGCGGGGAAGCAGCCTCTATGCCACGCAAGGAAGCCAGACCCCCTTTTCCACTTTGAGTTTAACGGGGCTAGCACTTGCAGGGAGGCCTGTCTCTGCAGGAGCCTCAACCCAGAAGCCCTCGGGGATGTCAGTCAACAGTTCCTGTTGCAACAAGGAAGCGTCAACCTTCTCCCCAGGGGACTGAGGCTGCCATCAAAGTGGAGAAGGATTTCTCGTTCCGTATTTACAAATACAATTTGCAAAGGAGGTCGCGACTTCCCAAGTGCGGGCAACTGCAGGGCTGGGGCATCCAGGGGCCAACGGCCACAGCCTGGGAGAAGGGGGTATTAACAGCTGCCTCTTCTTACAGCAGAGACGCCTGGCCAAGAGTGGACTAGGGCGAGACGAGCAGCAGCAGCAGCAGAGCTCTGCATTTAGATTGGGCCCTTTACCTCTCCTGAGAAAGCCAAGGGGGCTCTCCAGGCTCTTTCTTATCCTCACAGCAGCAACCCTGTAGGGCGGGCAAGGCTGGGACTCTTTCCAAGGGAGGTCTCCCCTTGCCCAATGCGGGGAAGCGTGCAGCGGCCTGCCACGCATCCATCTGAGGACTAAGCTGATCCGTCTCATGGCGAGGGAACCTGCCAGGCATGAATCTAAGCCAGAACTGCGCTGAGCTGTCCCCGTGAGGAGGACACAGCCCTTGCTCCCCTTCAACCCACACTCGTCCCCACACAGAGGCTGCTCGCCTGCCTTGAGAAGAATTCCGAGCAGCAGCTCTCTTGCCAGGAGGCATTTCCCGTCAGCACTGCATACGCAAGCTGCTTTTCCTCCCCCACTAAGCCTTCACGGCAACCACCCTGTGGGGCCAAATCCCCACTCAGCTTCGCGGCTACACCACGGGGACAAAGGCAGATCTGCCTGGTCCGCAGTCCAACAGGTGAACTGCACCCCACCCTGCCTGTCCAGACAGGGCCTCAAGTGAGCGGCACTGGTGTCTCTGGCCAAAGGAGCCGCCTCCGACCGCACCCTCTTCATACAGCACCGCTGCCAGCAGGCACAATTCGCAGTGCCGAGCGGGGAGGTGTTGACTTGACCCCTCGTGCAAAGGGGCTGCTCGCGCATGCTGGCCCAGGACCCTTTCCTTCTCTTCCCAATGCTGTAGGAGCTCGCTCTTTCAACGGACCAAGGCATTGCCCATGAAGGGCTGGCTTGCTGAGCCACTATCCGCTCAACTACCACCATGGCTGTTCCCCTTGAAGAGGGATGCAAGCTCTGTCCAAACCCAGCCAAGAAATCATGCTGGGAAGGTCAAGTCGAGTGCTCTGCATGAAGCAACACTTCCCTGGCACAGGCAGACTCCAGCGCTGCGCTCAGTCCTCTCGATAAAGGGGTACCTGGTGTGATGGGACTGGAAAACGCCTCAGCATGGGCCCCACCTCATAAAGAGGCTTCCCCGCCACGAATCTAATCTGGCACTCGGCTCCGGCCTCCCCATGAAGGGGAAGTTGGCCTGGTGTGGCACAAAATCCCTTCAACGTGGGCTCCACCTCATAAAGAGGCTTCCCCGCCACGAGTCTAACTTGGCACTCGGCTCCGGCCTCCCCATGAAGGGGAAGCTGGCCTGGCGTGGCACAAAATCCCTTCAACGTGGGCCCCACCTCATAAAGAGGCCTCCCCACGAGTCTAATCTAGCACTCGGCTCCGGCCTCCCCATGAAGGGGAAGCTGGCCTGGCGTGCCTGGAAATCTCCAACATGGGCCCCACCTCATAAAGAGGCTGGCCTGCCACGAGTCTCATCTGGCACTTGGCTCCGGCCTCCCCATGAAGGGGAAGCTGGCCTGGCGTGGCTGGAAATCTCCAACATGGGCCCCACCTCATAAAGAGGCTTCCCCGCCACGAGTCTAATCTGGCACTCGGCTCAGACCCCCCCATGAAGGGGAAGCTGGCCACCAGCAGCTCAAGAAAGAGCAACCCCTGGAAGGGGCTTCGGGCCAAGCACTGAAAGAAACTCTTGCCAACTCTGCCACCCCAAAAAGAGGCGGCTTGCCTGGTGTGGGGTAATTCAAGCTCCAACCTGACCTTCCTAAGAAAGCATGTTTATGAAGTGCTTGCGATACCCACCTTCTTCGCCTCCACCGTCCTGATAGGCAGCGGCATCCTGACGGGGGCGCAGAACTCTTGCCTCGGCTCACATCTCTTCTTGCCGTCCTCCTCTTTTCCACAGGCTGCCTGGTGGAATGCTTCATATCCAGCACCATGGCGGGCAGATACCCTGCAGCGGAGAAGCCAAAGGCTTAGCGTTACAGGTGCCTTGGAAAAGGCCTCCCAAACCCACTCCGTGCAAAGGCACCTCGCAAGGGCCAAGCAGCTCAGCCACATCCAGGAAGGCCCCCATAGATGGCGCTGTCACCTCACGACTCAGCTGACTGTCCCCGGAAGACCAGGCTGCCTTGCTCACTGGAACCTGCCTTCTCTATCCCCAGCTATCCCCACTAAAAGAAAAGCAGCATTGCCGGGCAGCTCTGCAGATAAACCCTTTGCCACAAAGAAAAAGAAACACAGAACTTACTCTCTTTCACTTCCCTCCAAGGAAACAGCAGCCCTTCCAACAGCCTCAAAGCGCGAGACACTCTTCAACCTTCTCGTTTCCAACCAGGAGCTGCTGAGCGCCACAACGGGCCAAGTCGTGCCTTCGGTCCACGGCCGGACAGGACCGCCACGCTCGGGCAGAAGCAAGGAAAATAGAGTATTACGCATGAGAAGGAAAAGCCCAGCAAAATCAGGCAAATCGCCCCACATTCCTCACTAAGGGGAATTCAAAGGTGCCAGGCCTGTGAAGCGCTGCCTTGCCAAGCGTGGACCCTGCTCATTGCTCAGGTGAGGCATGCCGAGGAAGAGCTGGCTTGCCAGGCATGATCTCAGGGCTGAGAAGANGCGCTAACCCAACCCCCAAGTCAGAGCCAGCGTTTCAGCCTGCCTCATGGGAGAGTCAGACTGTCCCAATCCCAAAATGGTGCTGAGAGAGCCAGAGCTTGTCCTGCCTTGCAGATGAGGCAGACAAGCCAACCCAAGACGGCGCTAACCCAACCCCCAAGACGGAGACGGAGTTTCAGCCTGCCTCACGGGAGAGTCAGACTATCCCAATCCTAAGATGGCACTGACTGAAACCCAGGACAGAGCCAGAGTTTGTCCTGCCTTGCAGAAGAGGCAGACAAGCCAACTCAAGACGGCGCTAACCGAACCCCCAGGACGGAGCCAGCGTTTCAGCCTGCCTCATGGGAGAGTCAGACTGTCCCAAACCCAAAATAGTGCTGAGAGAGCCAGAGTTTTCCTGCCTTGCAAATGAGGCAGGCAAGCCAACCCAAGACGGCGCTAACCCAACCCCCAAGTCGGAGCCAGCGTTTCAGCCTGCCTCACGGGAGAGTCAGACTGTCCCAATCCCAAAATGGTGCTGAGAGAGCCAGAGCTTGTCCTGCCTTGCAGATGAGGCAGACAAGCCAACCCAAGACGGCGCTAACCCAACCCCCAAGACGGAGACGGAGTTTCAGCCTGCCTCACGGGAGAGTCAGACTGTCCCAAATCCCAACCCCAAGATTGCACTGACTGAAACCGAGGAGAGAGGCAGAGTTTGTCCTGCCTTGCAGATGAGGCAGACAAGCCAAGCCAACCCAAGACAGTGCTAACCCAACCCCCAAGTCGGAGCCAGCGTTTCAGCCTGCCTCACGGGAGAGTCAGACTGTCCCAATCCCAAAATGGTGCTGAGAGAGCCAGAGCTTGTCCTGCCTTGCAGATGAGGCAGACAAGACAAGCCAACCCAAGACGGTGCTAACCGAACCCCCAAGACAGAGTTTCAGCCTGACTCACGGGAGTCAGACAATCCCAAGACGGTGCTGACCCAAACCCCGGCCAGTGCCAGGGTGTCGTCCCACCTTGAAGGGGAGGTGCAGAACTCAATCCCAGGACGCTCCCAGTTTTTGCCCTCCTTGCAGGGAAACTGGGCAAGCCCCCAATACTCCAATAGGCTGAGTCACCTGTGAACCTCATGGGCCAGCAGCCACAGTCCCGGCTCTGCTGGTTTTCTGCGCTTTGGGCTGGAGGAGGCAGCGCCTACTCTCTTTGCTCCCTTGCGGCCTCCGCACACCCCATCGCTCCTGACAGAAATTGCCCCATGGAAAGCCTGCTGCTTGTGTGTGTGAGCAATCTCCTTCCAGTGCCTAGCGCCCTGCCTATCTGCCACTGCGGACACACCCGTCAACCGGCCGATCCCAAACCCCACCGTGCTCTCTCACAACGTGAGGTGCGTCTTGAGTTTGGGAACTGGTCTCAGGGTGTTCGTGGCACCTCTACCTGCTCCCCACCATTCAGCCTCGCGGCTTGGGCCGGCGTCCTGAAGACTCTTACTGCCGGGTGGAGTGCCCTGGAGATTGCTTGCCTGACTCTGAGTCACAGTGTGGTGCTTACACAGGACAGACAGACAAACTTACCTTCTGGGTGATGGAAGACGTTCTTGCCTTTGGATCCTCGTAGGGGCTCCGCCGTACCGCCAGCACTTTTATTTTATTTTACAATCTTCATACACCGTTCCCAGCTCCCGGGCTTTGTGAACGGTTTACAATAACAAAACACAGTTACACAATGCAATACAATTCATATCTCTGCTAACATTTCTCCCCTTAACACAACCCCTAACCCCACCCCCAGGTGAATTTCAACTTA